GGAAAAGTTCCATTATTCCCCGTTTAAATCTGAGTTTGTCGGCATATTCAGACTACGAATGGACAAAAATTTTTCACACACTCATTTCGGCATACTTTCACCACTGGTTTATAGTAATGTTGAATTCCTTTTCACGTGTATTATTTTCAAAAATCGCTTTTTTCCATCTCCATTAAAGTTAATATAGCTGTCGCTACAAGTATTTCAACTGCCAACGAAAGAAAACTCAAAAACCTGAGCAGTTTCGTGGTCTTCGCTTCCGAAATGAGCTTCACTTTCTTCCTGGGATGAGAAACTCACATCACAAATAACACAACTAGATATGAATGGTGGCGGTGGTTGTGCTATAGGCTCAAATTCCTGCGCATTTGTGTGTACACTCAGCGGCAAATTAGTAAGCTCGACAGCAGCATTCACTGGCACAAGGATGGTATCTGCCTAAAAAATATTAAGATCAAAAATACTGGATTCGGATACCACACATGCCGATGGATTTATTAAAGAACAGTTGGTGTTTCATCTCTTAGCTGTAAACACAAAGCAGAGAAACGGACTGTAAATAGAGAGCAGAGGAATGAAAATGTTCAGTATTTGATGTATATATGACGAATGACTACTAAATGTACGATGTGCATGTTTCTAAATTATGAAAATTAGAGAACAGACATTGGGAGAAGAAGGAAACAAGGGAAAAAAAGATGAAAAAAAAATGTAGATAGTATGTTAAAATAGTACCCTTGGCTGCTAAGAACACCCTTTTTGTATATTCATCATCCCATTGTTTAAATATAGCATTTTTTTAAGGCATATCTAGTGATTTTGATCAAAAACAAACAAAAAAAAAAGGAAAGGGAACCAAAACTGAGGCTGGCGATTCTCTGTTCAAAATCGTACACATCACTAACGCAAAACAAACAGACAGAAAATCGCCAAAATTACCAATTTTAGTGCTCGTTAAAATTAAACTTACCGATTTCGCTGTTAGATGAGCAAACATACGACGAGAATCGACCAGAATAAAAGAACCCGCATTCAGGAAGGGGAATGCCAAGGCAATCCGGAGTTTTGCACATTCAGGTGACAGAGAACGTAGCATTTGCATTGGAATTACCACCGCTTCACATGGGTTTATTTCATTCACATCATTAACACTGTAAAATTATATCCTGAAGCAATCACATAGAGACCATGCCCACAAAATTTTGACTCCCAAATTTCTTTAGCTGGAGGGTCTGGACATTTTGACAGACAAACAGACTGGACAGACAGACAGACAGACAGACACACACACAGATATCACGCACTAACACACACATACACACATAAACATGCACCATATGATCTTGACTTAATGCAATATTTATATGAATGTAAAAAAGTACATAACAAAATTAATCCATTTTCGAGTTTCAACAAAAATGACTAATAAATGTATGAAAAAAAAAACTGACCAAACGGCACTAACTGAGACCTCAACTGTCTGTGGATTCAAGCATGGCTGCAGTCTTAATATAAGATGTGTTGCATTGTCCAGAGACTCCTGAAATCCAGCAAATTCCTTTATTTCCCGCATCAGACAGCAGTAACTTGAGGAGTACGAGGCATTGATGATTTTTAAAACGCAAAAATCCTTAAGCATATCAAAAAGAGGAATAGAAATAGAATAAAAAATAGGGTGTGTTAACAACGGATGTGAAAGAAGACGAAGAGTAAAATAATTGGCCAACGCACAGGCTGCCCGTGCCAAGATGAGTTTTTTGCATAGCTCCCCGCAGATTTTTGTCAACGGCGCTGCTTTTTCTGGAGATGCTTCTAGCTAAAAGAATTTCAGACTGGCCGCCAGGACTGTCAGGAAACATCCCTTCAAAATTCCGGTCTCCTAGCTTCTCAGGTTGCATCCTAAATTCGTAGAACATACCGTTGTGACGATGCGTGAAAAA